AACCAAGGGTAAATTCTGGAAGCACAGTAACTGAAATTTTAAAAACCAGATGATATGTTCGACAGCAGATTGAAAGGCAGAAAGCTAGTTGATGAACCTGAAGAGACAAAAAGCATTCAATCTGAAAATAAAAAGGACTGAAGAGAAATAAACAGAACCCAAGACAAAATAAAATTGTAGAATGCGAGGCCCAAAGAGAAACACTGCTTCGTCAAGGTCATGTAAGTTTTAAGCAGTACAGCCAACACCCATTCCACAAAAATATGCCATCTATTATCTGAACATAATAATTCAAAATATGAAATCCTAAATGCCTAGAAGGGCAACTATATTTTTTAAATTAACAAATAAGGAGCTGACCAAACTAATATTCCTCAGCACAGTTTGAGGTTCGCTACCAGTAATGTGAAGAACTTACATGCAATAATACTATGTGCAAACCTAACAATGAAAAAAATGCAGTTGTGGACACCTGCCCCTCCCAGCACAAGAATTTACTTCAGAGGACAGCACTGAAATCTGCAGCTCTGGGAGAGGGACATGTCTGATCAGAGCACACAGGAGCAAATGAAGGGGGAGGAAGAGAGAGTGGAGCACCTCCTGGCCCACCAAGCATTAAGGACAATATTCCCGCTCAGAGTAGCCAATCCACAGAGAAGACCCCATGGCCGGCCCCACTATGAGACAGGACATCCCTCACTACAAGGGACAACACTGGAGACAGTGTGGGAATTCTGCCCAATCTGATCCCACCACACCAAGGCAAAACACTAAGGGCATGCAATAGAACAGCAAGGGGAACAGAGCAATGAAGTCCCCAGGGAATACCAAAAATAGACTTTGGGGCCAGGACTTGGCACCCCAACAGACTCGACTAGAAAACACTCGTAAAGGCCAACAGTCCTTGAACTAACTACGAGCTTTTTGTTTTGTTTTGTTTTGTTTTTGTCATTGGTTTGTTGTTGTTTCTTTGTTGTGTATTATTGTTTGGTTTTGCTCTGTCTTGTTTTTGTGCATGTTATTATCTCTGCAGGTCTAAATAAGATAGGCTGGTTGAACAATCTGGAGGAGTAAACAACGGGACCGACAGTTCCGGGTGGACATAGGAGAGGGGAAGGTGGGGGGAAAGGTAGTGGTGTTAAACCCAGGGAACAAGGGAACAACAGTGATACAAATTGGTGGTGAGGAGGGTGTAGGAGGCCTGTAGGGTGTGATCAAGGGTAATGTAACCAAGAGGAATTACTGAAACCCTAATGAAGACTGAGCATGATAGTGGGACAAGAGGAAAGTCAGAGGAAATATAGGAAAGAACTAGGAGGTAAAGGGCATTTATAGAGGTGTAAATAAAGGCATATACATATGCAAATATATTTATATATGAGGATGGGGAAATAGATCTATGACATATTTATAGGTGTAGTATTAAGGTAGCAGATGAACATTGGGCCTCCACTCAAGTACTCCCTCAATGCAAGAATACTTTGTTCTATTAAACTGGCATTCCATGATGCTCACCTTCCCGACACAATAGCTGAAGACAAAGCGGCAAATGTGGTGAAGAAAGCTGATGGTGCCCGGCTATCAAAAGATATAGCGTCTGGGGTCTTAAAGCCTTGAAGGTAAACAAGCGGCCATCTATCTCAGAAGTAACAAAGCCCACATGGAAGAAGCACACCAGCCTGTGTGCTCACGAGGTGCCAAAGGGATTAGGTATCAGGCATCATCAGAACAAAAAATCATCATTGTGAATGAGGTGGGGAGGGCGGAGTGGAGACCCAAAGCCCATTTGTAGGCCACTGGCCATCCCCTTACAGAAGGATCTCAGGGAGGAGATGAGCCAGTCGGGTGGGATGTAGCAATGATGAAACATACAACTTTCCTCTAGATCCTAAATGCTTCCTCCCCCCACCCACTAAGAGTTGCATGAGCCCCTAATTAAATGATTTTTTTTAAAAAAGAAAAAAATGATGCAGTTAACACAACTAAGCAATGAAATAGGTGAATCAACTGAAATAAAAAGAACTATGAAGGTCTGGATTCTAACACAGTTGAAAACCTAGGAAGAAATGGCCAAATTCCAGAAACACACTAAGTAACTAAACCAGCAGGGACTGCAGTAGAAATCTGAACAGACCCGTAACAAAATAAATTGAAACAAACCAAAAAATTCCCAACTAAAGAAAGTTCCAGCCCCAACAGTTTCCCTGGTAAATTCTACCAATTAGTCAAAGAGCTGACACAAATTCTATTCAAACTATTGAATATATTCTGTGGAGTACTGAAAAGGATGAAAAACTCAAATGCAAACATGAAGCTAAAATAATACTGATACCAACACCAAGCAAACATAACACTAAAAAAGAAAATTATAAGCCAATATCCTACATGAACAAAGATGAAAAAATTCTCAACAAAATTCTAGCCAATAGAATTGAACAATATACCAAAATAATAGCACAATCTCTCAAGGGGGATTCATACCAGGTAAGCAAGGATGTTTCAACATTAGAAAAAACACTACAAGATAGTTATCAATTGACAGAGAAAAGGCATTGACAAAAATCCAACACCCATTACCGCCAAAAGGGGCCCTGTGCAGTCATGAGTTACCTACCTACTGTGCTCACTGCAAGTCAGCAGTTCAAAACCATTGGCCACTCCGCAGGAGACAGCTTTCTGCTATCATAAAGATTTATTGTCCCAGAAACTCACAGGGGCAGCTCTACTCTGCCCTACCTGTTCACTGTGAGTTGAAATCAACTTAGTAGCAGTGAGTTTATTTCTATTCAAAACACTCAACAAAATAGGAACAGAGGGGTAATTCCTCAACATAATAATGGCTATACAAACAAATGCAGTCATTAACAAAAACAATGAATAAAAAAGATGGGCCGAGCAACAACAGGTAAACACAAATGTTCCCTTCACCTCCAAAGGGAAAGTATAAAATATAAAAGCTGATACCTCAAAATTTTCACTGACTTCTTGCATCATCTTCAGCTTTGTCTCATCAGCTGTAAATAAGACACACCATCAAATCATTAAGCTACATGATTCCAAAAATGATCGGACTTAATCATTACAATTGAAGCAATCAGATCTTATCAGTTTGACTGTCAAGGCCAAAAGGAGGTACGTAAGTGCTCCCTACAACATTTGCACTCCCCAGACACCCATATTCACACACAGACAGGCAGAGATTCACACACACCTAACCCATGTGCCTCTTTAGGGCTCCAGCCAGTAACGATCATCATTTTGCTTCAACTCAAGACAGGGAGAGAGGAAATTGGGGTGGGGAGGGGTACATTCCTATTGATCTCAAAGTGTACATCATTTAGCCTGCACTAAATTAGCCACACATACTACCAAGATCAAAAAATAAAAAAGATTCACTCACGTGTATTCACATCGGTGAGAGCTGCCACAAACTGAAGGTATTTTTTCATCAGAGTGGTTTGATCAACCACCGTGGCCCCTTGTGTTGCAACAAATGCCATTTTTCTTGAATGCTTCTTCACTTGTTTCTTAAGGAAATGGTATCAGGCCATGAGGTCACGCAGCCTGTGGAAAGAAGCCAAGGTCAGACAATTTACCAAGGATACAGGCTCATAATCTCTGTGGAAAATTCATCTAAATCCCTGTGCATTCCGAATGCAACACAATACTACTCCCTCCCTCTCACTGGCTCTTTTGCAAATAAAACTGACCTAAATTAATCTCATCTATAAATTTCTAAACTGGATTTGTAAACACAGATGCAGCTTGTTCCCTTGCCATTTTTTTTCTTCTTTGCCCAAGGCCAGCGGTTGGCAGTTTCTCTAAAAGTTTGCTATCTAAAACTCGCTGCCATCAAGTCTATCCCGACTCAGGGCCACCCTACAGGGCCGGGCAGAACTGCCCTTGTGGGCTTGTTGACAAGACTGTAGATCTTTACCGGAGCAGAAAATCTCAACTTTCTCTTGAGGAGCTGCTGGTGGTATTGAACTGCCTTACGGTTAACATCCCAACCCATCACCTCTAGAGAACACTTCTAAAAGCCCGAGAGTAAAGAGTAAATACTTTAGACTTTGCAGCCATCTGCTAGGTCTTGAGTGAAGTGCAGCCAAAATGCTCCTTAGACACATGGGCAGTGAGAATTCATGTGTTTTTGAGGTTATCGGGGGGACCAGTCCTGAAGGAGGATATCTCACTTGGTAAAAGTAGAGGCTCAGCAGGAAGAGAGAGAGAAACCCTCAACACCACGGGCTCCAGCACAGCAGCAAATGTGATGGAGCAGGAGCAGGCTGCCAGGGTTCCCTCTGTCATACAGTCAGCAGCTCCGGGGCAGCTAACTGCAGGCTGTTGCAAATACTCAGCCCTGCTGTTTTAACCCAAAGCCGCCAGAGCAGTGGTTCTCAACCTCCGCCCAAAAGCCGCGGCCCTTTAATACAGTTCCTGCTGTTATGGTGACTCCGTAGGTGGGCGTATCTGTATGCGGGCGGGACCAGCCTAGAGATGGATAGAGGAGCTGTATCTCATGCCGGCGGGACCAGCCTAGAGATGGATAGAGGAGCTGTATCTCGGTTCCTAAGACCATAGGAAATATGGTCTTGGGCAACCCCTGTGAAAGGGTCATGACCCACAGGTTGAGAACTTGAGCTAGAGGAATGAGCAGGGGCTGTGTGAATTTCATGTCCTTGACACCTTATGAAAATTTAAAACTTTCTCCTTAATTTGAAAATGTCAAAACCATTCTTGGTTTATGAGGCATAAACAAACAACAGGTTGGATGTGACTATGGCTGTTCATCGTTTGCCAGTCCTGTCTTAGACAACGTCCTACCCACCCCACTCATAGGCGATCCTCCTGGACAGAGTAGAATTGCCCCCAAAGATTTCCAAGGCTGTACTCTTCATGGGAGCAGACTGCCACATCTTTCTCCTGAGGAGCAGCTGGTAGGTCCCAAACACTCCCCCTTCCTCCAACTGCTCCAGCCACTGGGCCTTCATCCACCATGCTCCCGGAAAGGAGTCAAACCTTGAAAAGTCATCTCGGCTAAAGAGACACAGCTGGTGACAGACACGCTTAGAGTATAACGCTGCTCCAGGTTGTAGATGAGTGGAACTGGTTTTCTACAACCAACAATGCACAACGGGGTGGCAGGAGGCTGGCCAGCCCCCAGTTGAAAATCCATGGGTAACCTTTGACTCCCCACAAACGTAACTACTAATAGCCTGCTGGCGACCAGAAGCCTGACCCAACCATCGACTAGCATATGTTTTGTAAGTTATGTGTACAAGGAGCATCAAAAAAAGTTTGTGGGAAAATGGAATTAAATGAGGCTGTTCTTCAAACTTTTTGAAGTCCCCCACCCCACCCCGAGTATGCTATACTGTACGCTGCATTGTCAACAGCCGATAAAATCACTATTTTACAAGTGCAAGATACTCATGCCGGCTGGTTTGACTGCAGCTTCCCGAATCTTCTCTTTGAAAACAATGATCCTAATGCTATGTTCATTTATCTTGAAATGGCAGCCGGCTGCAGCTGCAGATCTCAGCTTATCAAGCAATTCCACTTTTTCTTGTGCCGCCGTGACTTTTTCTGTTTCTCGGGAGACTTCCAGCATCACCAGTGGCTCTTCGGACGGGTCCCCCAGGGTTTTCGAATCAAGACGGGCAGGACTGCACAAAACGCGGTGAACAACAACGCGACCAAGGCAAAAAGATAGCTTTTTCCTGCTGCTTCAGGTACAATTCGCGGGGACACAGCAGCAGCAGCAGCGGGATGATGAGCTGATGAACCTCACATGGGGTTTTGGAAAAAAATCTCCCACGAGTAGTCCCGTGAGGATTCAAACTCGGGGTTGTAGGGCCAACTGTATTGAATGAGCCCTCAACCCTGGCAGAAGGACTCCTGGACCCCAGCCCGCTCGCAGGCCCACCGCCCAACTCCGCTCAAGGGCGGCCCCTCCACCTCGCTGGCGTCTGCCTTCCCAGGCGGGTCCAGCTGGCACTTGTGCCCCATAATGGGGACACCCCCGACAGGCAGGGAGGACGCCCCCAGCACAGCCCCCCAAAAGCTGAGGGCAAGGAGAGCCACCTAGGAAGCCTGTAGGGCCACAGGACCCCAAGGACCCCACATCCGCATCCCCACACCCGGGGCGAAGCCTCGGGGTGCCGGCCTCTCCCCGGCAGCCCCCGCCACCCCGCCCAGGCCTCTGGAAAGGCTCTGCCCCGGTGTGGAAGCGCTGTTCCCAGCCGGGTCCGGTGCGGGGGCCACGCCCCTGTCGCCGGGAGCGCAGCGTCCAGTTCGG